AAATATGAGTGGCCTGAAACATACAAGAAGATATTTAGTGTAACTGATAAATAAATGAGTGCAGAATCAATCAAAGAGAAGAAATTCGTATTCTTTCTGGCCACTGATCCTGAGCCTGTGGCCAGTACATGGCTACAATATTGTTTCCTTCCCGAGTTTTCCTCCTTGTCCTGTGAACTATATAGCACAGTACCGGTAGGTTGTGTTTTCAACTCACACAACAGCTACACAAAAGAGTGTCACACACAACGAACCAAAATTACTCGGGATTTTCAATGGCACGGAAACACGGATGCTCACGCTGGGGGAAGGGAAGGGAAGCAGGATGCAAAACGGTACGTGCGGGATACAGGGCTGTTCTGAAACAGTACGTGGGGGAAGGACCAGAAAGAAAACAACAGAATATTCCCACTGCTTTTCCATGGGCAGTTTTCATTCTTCTTTCTACTTTCTGTATTTTCTGAATTTGATAGTGTGCATAGGCAACTTTTATAATTGGGGAGAAAATTTTAAAAGCCTTAAACATCATAACGCATTTTCCTATTCCACAGCCTCAGTAACCCTGCTGGCTAAACAGCTCCCTTCACACCCTTCCCGAGGGACGGAACCATGTGAAATCAACGCAAACGCTTGCGACCCTGTAACCTACACCCTGATGTCAGCTCTGCAACGGGCCCCTGATCGCCAAACCCTCCAAGCGCGTTCTTGCACAGCCTATCAAATTCTCAGGTCACCTTACGAGTAGGTTCTATTATTGTCCCTCTGCTAAAGACACAGAACCCAGAGCTCAGAGAGGTTCAGGCCCCCGCCCAAGGTCACACAGCAAAAAAACACCAAACTGACGGCCCGGCAGCTGTGCCTGCCCCCGAGCTCCAGCACCTGAGTGGAGCGGCCTCCTGCCTCCTGAGAGGAGGAGGAGGGGGAGAGAAACGCCTGCCAGGACTTGCTGCCTCCTGCCTCAGCTTTTAAAAAACCAAGGCGAAGCAGAGGAACGTTTTGGGGCACTCGCCTCTCTTGTCTCACCCCTTCAGCAATGTTCCTCCAGCCTGCCCTTTCACCTGCTCTCTGCTCGTTTTGATGTTTTTCCTTTTCTTTTCTTTATTTCATTTTTAACTAATCACTTGGTTAACGAGTCAGCTTGCTGAAGCTTGGGTCGGCACCGAGTGACTCCACGCACGCGAGGAAGAAATCAGCCGTCACCGACACAGAAGTCAGAAAGGTTTAAATCAAATCATCTTCCACAACAATGACATTAATTATGCTTTTAACACGTTTTACTGCTTTTTTTCTCACTTCACGCCACATCTGTGTGAACAATATCCACAAGATTTACGGTTTTCTTTCGTAATTACAGACATCCAGGCTGCACACTTATCAAAATACTTGCTGAGCAATCACGCCGCATCGCACGCGCTGCCAAAGATTTGTGTTGGCAGCAGTCATTCAAAACAGAAATGTTGAATCAGGACTTGTGTGGCTCTGGAGGTGGGGGGGGCGGATTCTGACAAACGATTTGCCTGTCAAGAAATATAAAAACGGGAGAGTGCACCCTGGCAAATTTTCCAGGAGTGTTGTTTTTATGGAGGGGCGGGGCCGCGCGTGTGGGGAAGACAGCGAGCCGGGAGCTCTGAGCACCAGAAACACATCTGACACTTGGTTCTTGTGTCTGAGGATAAAATTTAATGAGAACAAGAATATGTCTTCCTAATTCCCCCAAGAAATCATTAAAACATTTTGTTATTCTTAAATGTCTCAGAATGAATTAGAGCCCCTAAAGGGGCTGTTCGCACGGTACGTCTCCATCAGTTAAGGCTCCTCGTTCCCTAACTCGGTGACAGCTGGGGACTTACGTTCCCCCCGCCCCCCATTTCCAGGGAGAGAGCTAGGAAGTCAGATGCGCAGAGTCAGCACCAGGCTTGGAACCTTTGGGGAGGAGGTTGCAGGAGGGCACAAGGACCCTCTGGAAAGTTCCTGCCTGTCTTGGGAGCTCTCAAGGCCCCTGGCTGGCACTGCAGTCCTGGCCGCCCTGTGATTGTTAATAGCCTTACCTCCAGAAAAATGAGGGTCTCCTAGTGAACCCCCAAACAATGTCTCTTTTCCAAGTGGAGGTTGTAACCCCCTCCTCACTGCCTAGAACCACTGGTGTTCCCTTAGGTTTGTGACAACAAGTTGGTTAAGTGAGTGACAATCTGGTCACCTCTGTTGCCACAATGCAAGCTCCCTGAGGGCCGGGCCCTTGTCTGCATCAGTGGGTTCATGTCATGTTCCAGTTCTAGTGAGTGCCAGGCACACAGCAGGTGCTCAGTAAATGCTATCTGGGTCAATGAACACGTGACAGGAAGAGGGCTCTAGTTGAAAAAGTACCTTTTTGTTCAAACGGCTCTTCCTCCCCTTCCTGTAGCTGAGTCGTATTTCTAATTCACTCACTGAACAGTTATTAGGTGCCGACTGTGTATGGGGTTCTGGGTATACAAACTTGATAGGACTCAGTCCCAGGCTTGGAGAATCTTACTTCTCCTAGGGAAGCCAGACACATATATGATCGTGACAGTAATGACACGTAGCCAAGTACCACCATGTGCCAGGCACACGGAAGCCTCCCCAAACCACAGGAGGCAGGTCCTCGCATTACTCCGAATTTATAGAAGAGGAGACCAAAGCCCTGGGAGGTGAATTAATTCATCCGCAGTCACCCAGTGAGTAAGTGGTGCAGGCGGGATTCCACCCGGGGCCTGGCCCTAAGCCTGGAAACAAGCCCGCGTCAGTGCTGCCCCCTGGTGCTACGGGTCGGGCTCCACGGCGCCCAGGGACGGAGCCTGGCGTGAGGACTCCAGGGAGGCGAGTTCGGAGTCTGTAACTGAGCACTCTCCAATGTCATTTGTTGCCAAGACTGTGAGTCTTGAGAGACTGAAAAGAGTGGGAAATAAGAGTATATTTTTCCAAATAACTCTGGTGAGGGTGGAGAGACTATAGGGCCTCTCAGATACGTGCGTAGTGTGTTCCTCAGGGTAACGACCGGCTGCAGACACAAGGCCGGTTCAGTCTCATGCCGCAGGGCACACCGTCCGAGGGCGAGGGGATGCTCAGGGCCCCGAGGGCTGTGCTGTCCAGCTCCAGCCATTCTCACCGCCAAAGCGTTCTCGTTGAGAAAGCCCACGTGGCCGTGCTGCCCTCCTGAGAGTACAGAATCAGGGCAGAGCACAGGGCCGGGCAGAGGGCATCCAAGGATGCAGATGCCTCTGTAGTGGGCTGAACGGTGGCCCCCAAACATCCGCCAAGTCCCAGTCCCTGGCCCCTGTGAATGTGACCCTACTTGGACAAAGGGTCTTTGCAGATGTAATGAAGTTGAAGATCTTGCGATGAAATCATCCTGGACTATTTGTTGGGCCCCAAATCCAGTGACCCCAAATCCTTGTTAGAGAAAGGAAGGGGAGGTATGGGACACAGAGGCGAGGCAGCAGAAGGCCAGGTGAAGACAGGCAGACACAGAAGTGCTGTGGCCGCAAACCAGTCCTGAATCCAGGATGACCTCATCTCAAGATCCTTCACTAATCACACCTGCAAAGACCCAGTTTCCAAATAAGGTGACATTCGGAGGTTCAGGGTAGACACAGATTCTGGGAGGGTACTATTCAACCTTCTCAAGTTGCTCAAGACAGATGGAACAAGCAACTTCCCCATCCTCAGTACAAAGATCCCACGGACAGCTTTTATTTCAAGTACACTGTCCTCTTCGTAAACCCTCAGCCCCAGTCGACGCCCGCAGCACCGACCCCTGCAGCTTCGAGGAAGAACTTGCGAGAGGGTGAGGGTGCTGTCCTGGCAGACGGGCCCCTCCCAGCTCTGCTCTTCTTAAGCAAATCCCTACACCGTCCCAGGCTCCCTCTTCTGAGCCAGTACATGAGAAGGGGGCACAGGATGGGCCATTTTTAAAGAGGCAAACTTTTCATACAAGTATATCAAGGAACAGCACCTCCAGTCTCCAGAGGCCTCTCCCAGGAGCTCAGTGTCTAACAGCACAGGTTAATGTTTTCTAAAATCGAGGTGAAATTTCTGTAACATAAAACCTACCATTTAAAAGGGTCCACTTCAGTGGCATTTAGTGCCTTCATGATGTCGTGCCACCGCCACCACCACCTCTGTCCAGTCCCAGAACATTTTATGCCCTCAAAAGGAAACCTTGTGCCCACTAAGCACTCACTCCCCATTCCCTGGTCCCCACCCCTGCCAGCCCCTGGCCGCTGCCAATCTGATGACTGTCTCTATGGATTTGCCTCTTCTGGACACTTCAGTAAATGGAACCCTATGCCACGTGCCTTTTGTGTCTGGCTCCTTTCCTTCAGCACAATGTTTTTGAGGCTCATGCACATTGTAGCTGGTGCGAGCGGTTCGTTCCTTTTTACGACTGAGTCGTACTCCATTGAATGGATAGACTGCAGTCTGTTTCTCCATCATCCATTGATGGACATTTGGGTTGTTTTTCCTTTTTGGCCACTGTGACTAGTGCTGACAGGTTAATTATGCCTGTCTTCATGTCTTATGTAAAAAAGAGTCATACAGTATGTGTTCTTTTGGGTTCCACTTTCATTCTACATCAAATTTTTGAGGTCGGTGGCAGCACGTCAGAGGAAACTTCTGAGGTCTTTCCAGCAGCGCTCTCTGCTGGCAGAAAGCACTGAGCACCATTTGTCCTCGGGCGGGCCAGACAGACCTCTTGGCTTCCCAAGAAAGTCAGATGGGACACCCTGCCAGAAGCCCCCCTAAGTTCCCTGGGCTGACATGGGGAGGTGCAGGGGGAAGACACAGGAGCCGTGTGCTAATGTCACACCAGACTGGGTGGAGAGGCCATCACCCCCAATGCCCCCACCCATGGAGGGCATGGCTATGCCCGAGAATCTAAGCCTCCCCCCAGATCCCATCATGAGGACGCCCCTGTGTGATGGCCTAGTGGCTGTTTCTTCTCGTTATTTACTCAATTATGGAGCCCAAGCATTTCTTACCTGGTGCTTCAACTAATTGCTTGTAAACACTCAAAAAAGCAGCCTCAGCTTCCTGACTTCTTTTACTAAGGGCCACCACCTTTGGAAACAAAAAGAAAAAAGTCACATGTTACCATGATAGGTGAGTCTACAAGGAAATCTGATCATTTTATTCTTGTGCAAACATGGGATGGGGAGGGGAAATGAAGGTTAAAAGTAAGATGTTAAAAAGTTCAGGTTCACATCTCAGCTCCTATACTGCATTCTGGCTGTGTGACCTTGGGCCAGTCACTATCCCTCCCTGATCCTCAGTTTCCTCATCTGTAAAATGGGAGTAAATAATAGAACCTACTTCCTAGGCCTGTTGTGAGGAACAAATGAAGATGCATATAAGGGGTTAGTATGGGGCACACGGTCAGTTATTAAATAACTATTATTATTCTTGTAATTAAAGGGCCACACTGGGGGTTTAAACATGGTATATGTTTTGGAGAAACAGGAGACACATCTGGGAAATATTTCTTGCCACTAAAAATTAAAGAGAAATCATGAAATCTCTAGTAAGATATCAAACAGCTTCAACAAATGTCAAGGTGAAAGTGTTGTATGAAACGGTTCCTGGTATACCAGAGGCGCTCATAAACGCTTCTTGCCTGATGAATGCACGGGTGACTGAATAACTCGGAGGCCAAGACCCACATTCACGCACTCATTCTCTTGCTCACGGGCTCGTCCTGTTCTGCCAGTGAGACTCTGTGAGGCGCATTCAGGCGAGACGCGGCGCCTGGCACCACATCGCGCCACTCCGGGCTCGGGATTCTGAGCTCTGGCCTCAGGCCTTTTGGTTTAGTCCTGGGCCGTCCTGGCACATGAGCTCTTGGCACCCATGGGCCACAATCCCTACCCTCCTCGAGGACATTCTCAGATGGGTATGGTCCAGTCCTTTGGACTGGAACAGCTTTATTCTCCTTGGAGCCACCAGACCCCTCCGTCTGGTGCCACCTTCCTGAGCGATGACCTACTGGAGCATCTCCTTGTCAGCCACCCTCTCCCAGAGCTGCACTTTCCTCGTGAGTCCCACTGATGCCGATGAAGAGGGAGTTCACACTGAGTCCCTCCCCGGGAAGCAAGCTCTGGGAGCACAGTGTCGGGTGCGCAGAAAGTGCTCAACGTGGTTTGTTGAAAGGACAAATCCCAGTGGGCTGCACCAACTCTAGGTCCTGTCTGACACCGTCCTGGAGAAATGACAGAGGCCATTTCTGAGGATCTGTCCACAGAGGTGGCCAACATGAGGCACAGGCCCTGGAGACAGGCCACCTAGTTCAAATCCCAGCCTCACCACTTTCTATCTGTGTGTCCTTTGGCTGGTAGGTCACTTAAATCCAGTGCCTCTACTTCTTCAGCTGTAAAATGGGGATAATATGACAATCTCCTTCAAAGGCTTGCGAGAGGATCAAATGATTTAACACATGTAAAGTCCTGTGCAAACCCCCTGGCATGCATTAAGCCCCATAGACATGTCACCTCCTGGTATGACCTACCCCCTATTACGGGGACAGGCTCTGCCCAGGGCTGCGTGATCAGCCTCAGCTGTGCTCATCTCTGGCCTCCTACGGAGAGCGCCCGCATGCACTCTGGGAAGAAAAATTTGAAAACCATAGTAGTTCCTCGTAAGGCTTCCAATACGGCAGCCATGAGCCTCATGTGCTTACCGAGCATTTGAAACATGATGAGTCCAAATGCAGATGTGGGGTGAGTACCAAATACCATATTCTAAAGACACTGTGAAAAAACAGAATTTACAACAGCTCACTGACATTTTTTATACAGAGTACGTGTTAAAGCGATAACATTTTGGATATCATAGGTTCAATAAAATCTATTATTACTATTATTTGTGTCACCTGTTTACTTCTTTTTAATGTAGGTACTATAGAATATAAAAACATATTCATGGATCACACAGCATTTCTATTGGACAGCACAGCTTGAAGGTCTTACAAGGTCTATACTGAACTCATTATTGGAGAGGAGTGGAGAGAAATGTATGGTGGATGTTGAGCAAGTGGTTTTAAAAAGGTCAGTTACAAAAGCTCCTTTAGTTTTTTGGTTATTTTGAGAACAGTCTCTGACCCTTTGCCTTCCAGAATGAATGAGTCTCTCATTCATTCAACAGACATTTTTCTCAGCGCCTGCTGCGTGCCAAGCACTGGGGGCTGAGAACTCAGCGAGGAAGGGTGCCAATGGATGCCGCCTCAGGCTCCACCCTTAGGGGACTCCCACTGGGGAGACTGACATCAAAGCAGATTCTCCAGATAATTCATTAATCACAAGAGCTAAATGCTTCAGAGAGTGTGTCAGTCAGGGAGCCTGACCCAGTTTGGGGGGCAGCACATCAGGACCTGCCTCCCCAAGGAGGAGAAAATGGTGGCAGAGAGAATGTTCTAGGATCTAGGCAAAGGGAAAAATCACCAAGTGCGGGCAGATTTTTATTATTTCTGAGGTGGGTGAGGCACAGTTTCTGCTTTGGGGACTCACAGCTAAGTGCAAGACACAGCTGTGCCCAGGGGGACCACAGCGCGGGGGACGGCGGTGTAGACACCGGGCCCTCCGGAGTCACACAAGGAGAGGGTAGGCAATTCAGGCTGGGGGGGGGGGGCACGACCCTGATGGGCTAGTTCTAACGATGAATGTAATATTCAGAGTTTACCACGTGCCAGGTGCTCTTACTGCGCACGACCGCCTCTCTCCGTAGACACACTGACCGCTGAAGGACGCTGTGGTCATGATCCCCATTGCACAGGTGAGAACACCAAGGCTCAAGGAGGCTAGGTGACTGGCCTCCGATTACGCAGTTAGTGACTGGTAGAGCAAGATTCACACTGGTCTGGAGGTTCCAGTTACTGGTCTGACTCCGGACACTGGCCCCTTTCCCTTTCTCCTGGGTAGAAAAGCTCTCCCAGGCAGTAAAGACAGTCTCGCGGACCTGCTGCCCACCTAGAACCCAGGCAAAGCCGTGAGAAATAAAAGCAATTTGTCTCCCGACCCCCAGATAGAGAATTGTCGAAGAGCGGTCGGCAGAAAGCCTGAATACTTCATTTTCCAGCCGTCCATGCTGAGCACGTGTGGTGGCTGCAAGTTTGGGGAAGGCATCAGAGTGTTCCACGGACTTCTATAAAGGAACTCAGGTCACAAGTGGGGGCAGGCGCCCAAAGATTCTGTTATCGTTTCCCTTTCCCTGCCTGCAGCACCCTCTACTTTCCATTCCTGGTGCTTGTCAGTTCGTAATGGTGCATTGTTTATGTGTGACTCCTTCTAATTTGGTCTCCCCACTAGAGCTGTGTTGTTGAATACGGCAGCCACTAGCACATGTGGCCACTGAGCACTTGAAATGTGACGATTTCAAATTCAGATGGGCTCTAAGTATAACATGTGGGATTTCTAAGTCTTAGAATGTAAAATGGGTTGTAAAATAGCTCAATAAATTTTACATTGATTTTATATTAAAATGATGATATTTTGGATATATTAAATAAAATATAATATTAAAATTAAACTCACCTGTTTCTCTATACTTTTTAAAATGTAGCTACTAGAAAATGTAAAATTACATGTGGCTTGCATTATATTGGCCAGCAACTGGACGGAGCTTCTGTAGATCAAGAGTTGGCTAACTATGGTCCTTAGGCCAAACATGGCCCTTCCTGTGTGTGTATAAAGTTTTACTGGAACACAGTGGGGGACATTCTTTCATGTATTGTCTACAGCCGCTTTCATGCTACCATGGCTGAAGCAATAGTTAGTTGTGAAGTTGTGACAGACACGCGGGTTGCAAAGTCAAAAATATTTACTGCCTGGCCCTTTAGAGACAATGTTTGCTGATCTCTTTTTTAGAGGTTATCTAAATGACTACACAATATTTTCTTCTCTTTTTTTAAAAAAAATATTTTACTATTTTTTTTTAGAGAAAGAGGGAGGGAGGGAGAAAGAGAGGGAAAGAAACATCGATGTAAGAGAGAAACATCGATTAGTTGCCCCTTGCACGCACCTTGCCTGGGGACCAAACCCAGAACCCAGGCATGTGCCCTGACCAGAAATCAAACTGGGGACCTTTTGCTTTGTGGGACAATACCCAACCAACTGAGCCACACCAGTCAGGGCTGGACAATATTTTCGAAAGCAGAGATCAGAAAACATCCTGAACTGGCACGCAGTTTGAATCGGTTCACGTTCAGGGCTTCCCATAATAAATGTGAGCCTGGAAGAGACAGCCATTTGGATGTCCTGCCCCATCCAGCCTTGTTTTAGGGCAATGACCCTGTCTGTGTCCAGAAGGCCAGTTCTGAAAGTTCAGGGCCCTACTGACTGCTGGGCCTAAGTGTCACTTAGCGTCTCCTGGCCTCAGTGTGTTCCTCTATCAGGTGGGAGGAAAAATTCCCATCTGCCTAGGAAGCTACTGGAGAAGAATGAGCTAACACGTGGCAAAGAGTCCCATGGAAGTCTGCACGAAGCTTTCTAATACATCAGATAATTCTTCTTCCAACCGTGTTGGAAGGATGTCTTTTCCACAGTCTGCAGCTCTCACGCATTTCCCTCACGTGCCTAAAACAGGTGAGCTTGGCATAAATAAAAGGCCACATGTTTCTGCACCAGGGCTGGGTCCTACCATGCAGAAGGGTGGGAGAAAAGTGTTCAAAATGACAGATTTGGCTTGTGACAGGCAGATCTTTGAAGGCCATCTGGGGGAGGAGGAGGAAGGAGACGTGGAGGAGGAGGAGGTGGCGGCCAGCTACAGACACCAAGAAGGTCACCATCAGAAATAGCTTAGCATCTGACAGAGCACGCAGCATTTCCACCACCTGCTGTGATGGAAGGGGTGACAGTGTGCTTGGTCCCCCACTATGCAAACAACAGGTGCAGAGCCGGTTAAGCCAGAAAAGAGGCAAAAGCCAGTTCTAGCTGCCTAGCTTTTGTCTATCAAGTGGTTAAACTGGCAAATTTCGGGACCCCCCACCCCACCCTTGAGACGGAGCTTCCACAACCATCTGAGACAACAGTGACACCTGCTGGCTACGGAGAAGGGCTCCACGCCCAGATCTT